AAAGGCTAAGTTTCCATGAACTTTGGACATAAAAAAGGCTGAATAAACCTTCTGGAGAAGCTGAATAAATTTTTCTAATTCACAGTACATAAGTTGCTTAAAGAAATAAGCCTGGTTTGAGCACTGTGTAACCAAATCCCTGTCTTTAGATCGAAATGATTCATGATCAGATCTAAAACCTAGTAAAACAATAATTATGTCGCTACATGTAAAAAACTGTATTTTTCCAAATAATTGCATTTAAAATTAACCGTCATTTTCAACAGAGAGACAACAATCAAATACAATAAAAACCAGGGCATTTTCTATCAGGAATAATCTCGTTTCACAAAATAAATGTTACTTCTCATTCTATTCACAGTAACCATTAGTAAAAGCATGTTGAAAGTTCAATTACAGGAGGCAATTTAAAYTACATTTGCTCCTTAAACATTCTCTTTTTTTTTCACTTGCCCACTATTTTGCAAGAACTCTTCAGTGCTTAATTTACAGGCTTTATTCTATTTTCCCTGTGTATTTTAGCATTTCATTTATAAAGACTTCTTTTATTCATGAAAGTGGCAGTATAGCTTCTTTTCATCCAAGACAAACTTATTTTAGTCCCACAGTAGCCTGGGATAGAAAAAAAGAAAATCTATTTCCACAAACACAAGCCATAGATTATAGTAATGCTGAAAGCTACATGACTTTAATTTTATTTTCTTTGAAAAGAAATATAGACAAATAAAAGAGCACCTATAGAAATCAGTACAATAAACACATATGTGTGCATACAYACAGGCCAACACACAAGACTTATTTGCTACAACTCTCAGATCTGGCAGCAGCTTGTGTTGTTGAATGCAGCTTTTCAGTAATTATAAGCCAGTTCTGTCATGCAGATGAATCTAACTTTAAATAGATGTTTAACAGTAAACCTTTCCAGTATCTCTGGTGTGCTTGAAGTCTGGACATGATAGGGGCTCAGTGACTTCATGTTTGTTGCAGAAGAACCTGTGCAATAACAAATAGCTTTTTTTTTTTTTTTATTTACACAAGTCGTAACAGTGTAGAGTGAGCTGAAGAGCAGAACTCTCCAGCCTGGGAAGTGTCAATGGTCACTGTCTCGATGGCTTGAGGTTGTCAAGCCTCCAACAGCTTTGTTGGTTTATACAAGAAGCCACAGCTCTAAAAATTTTGCTAGATAAACTGCTGAATGTTGCTGCCRCAGCTAAAGAGTGTTCTCACCTCTGTCTGTAAGAGGTCACTAACCTCTGCAACAGAATCATGAGCAGGGAYCTTGCAAGGGGCAGGAAGATACACCTCTGCTGAGTTTGCTGGGCTGGTAATCCCTCCTTTGAGGGGAGGTTGGAGGCAGCAGCGTCTTCAGCACCTGGACCAAGGCATTCCAGAGCTTGCCTGTCAAAACTCCAGCAAAATCCCTGGCTCATGCTAGGGCTCTTTCACACATGGCTTACTGGATTTTCAGTGTGTGAAGTTTTTCTCTGTAACTGAATAAATGAATTAGCTGCATTGTCCCTCCTTTGTAGTCCCGTTATCAGCTCCTGGAGTCATGACACAGAAGAACACATTCACRTTTCTGCACTCAAGTGATAACGTGGCTTCCTTAGCAGAAAAAAGCCTATAAGCAGAGATGTACTGACAGCATTTTGGCCCAGTGGAGGACATCTGGCTTGTGTCCTGAAGTACTGCTTCCCAAAGTTTTGCTTCTCAAACTTGCTTCCTTATCCCCAGAACCTCCGTGACACCTGACTTTCCTGATCCTGATCCTACCCAGCCTTCTGACACTCGACTTCTGACACATGACTTGCTGTCATGCTGAGCTGGCAAGGACATCTCGTTTAAGGACATCTTATTTTTCCCTGATAAGGCTTTTCCTATCTGTCATGTTCATCACAAATCAGAAGAACATGTGCAAAAAAATTCCCCACCCCAAACATAAAGCAAGAAACTGACACACAGTTCACATCCATCACCAATGGTGTCAGACATCATAGCAAATTTTGTGCAAGATGGTTGGATTTTTAGTAATCACAAAAGTTTCAGTGATAATATTTTGCTTCACCAGTGGGACCTGGGTGATTATTTGACAGTAGAGAAAAACTGAGCCAGAAAGAAGCCCGAACAAGTCACCAGTGTATCTTTGGCAAAGTATTTTCCCAGATGCTGCCACAAACTCCTCTGTGGAGGGGTGCCAACCTCTGCTAGCTCCATACCTCTGCAATCCTTAGTCCCAGTGAACATCACTTTTTCAGCAGCATTTTTTTCCTTCTGTTCTTCCATCCCCAGCTTAAACCCACAAAAGACATTCAGGAATTCAGCTGCCCCTCCCACTCACTTTACATTAATCCTTTAGCCAGKAAGGAGAAATGCTGTGATACTTGCTCCCAAATATTCCTGCCTTTCCAAGCAGCATGGAGGGCAAATTAATACATAATGTTTAAAGGGAAGGTAAGCTTTTATTTCCACAGCCAGAGAGGTGTATTTACTTCTTAATCTCCATTTTTATTGAGTCTGTAAGTACAGATCTCATCTCYGCAAGCTCTAGAGACAGAAAAGCTGGAGAGAAAGAAGCACCTAACAAAAAAAGGAACACTGCTAAAAAAAAAAAAAAGAAAATGAAAAAGATTTCAAACACAGAATTTCAAAGAGTCTGAACAAAGATAAATTCTACACAAGCAACTCCAGTTTACAGMCTGCTTATTTACACAGGCCAGTGTCTGACTATTTACCCTGGAATAGTTGTTACTTGCATAGTAATCAAGACCACGCTTACTACAGCTGTTGCAGAGTGAATGAACCCTCTTCTCAGCTAAACAATGACAGGGTTCAGCCAGAGCAGTCATCTAAGAAGGGACCAAGCAGCAGAGATTATGTGAGGTCTGCGGAGAGAAGCAGACAGCTGAATCCAGTSAGGCAGCCAAAAGCTCCTACTGGGCAGAAAAAACCTAAGGGCTTTTTTACATACAGTTTTTTCTTACTATCTTTATGAGGTTTACATTCTTAAATCCACTAGGTTACACTGAATTTCCCAGCTAAACTGATCATGCACAAGGCACAGGCTTTGGAATCAGCATGTCCATTAAATTGTTTAGGAGTATCTTAACCCATTGGCAGCCCATAGGCTTTATAATTTCTTTTCCATACAGCACGGCTGTTGGTGTGATTCAAAAATATAGTTTTCAACATTCATTAGAAAAGCAACCCCAGCAAACTTCTCGTGGTGCAAACACTTTGTGTTGGAGCTCAGTTGYTTAGTTTATTCCCTGTCACCAAATGAAATAAATATGGCAATAATTGCACTTCCATTTGAGTAACTCTTCCTATGAAGAGGCTCCTGCTGTCAGTTTACCAGCACCATATCATACTCCAAATAAATGCTGTTATCTTGGCAAAACCCTGTAATATGGAGCTGATGTGAGAGCCTCTCTTTGAACCACACCTGCAGAAGTAGATAATGAACTTTCCTGGTAGACTTACGGAGTCCAGGAAAGGAGAAACTTTGTGAATCTGTTGTTTTTCAGGATGTTTTTGTGCTTGATATTGGTTTTTTTTTTTTTTTAATGGAGGGGGATTGGGATTTGGTTTAGTTGTTTCTTTACTGGTCTTTCAATTTTTGGGATCTTGGGTGCCACTGCTAAAGAGAGAACTCTAAAGTGAACTGTTTACTTTCTTGACAATACATGAGAACTTCAAAAGATGTTAACGACTTTGTTACTATGCCAAGTGTGCAAAAATAAATGGTATAGTGTATATTTTTTAAAAAGAGTTTTTCTCTGTAAGAACAATGCAGTTTTATTTTTGCTGAGTTATTGTAGTTATAGCCCTGAACCACGCTGCTTTCAAGATACAATGTGAAATATCTCATAATGTCTCTTAACCAAAAAAACAAAACACTTGTGACTTGGGTGATGAAAATACTGCAGAGCAATCTAAACATGCCCACAAATCGTTTAAACTTTATGAAGCACTACAGACATTTGGATCAAGTAGGAGACCTTCATTACTCAGGATTAGCAAGCTTCAAGTGTGTAATGAGCACAGTGAAACACCCAGCCAAAAAAAAAAACCCAAGGGCAAACAAAACTTGGAAAGAGAAACCAAGAGAGCTCTCTTCTAACTAATGTTCCTAAAATGCATTCACTTGAGACTAGATATGCAAAAGTAGTATTTAAGTCAACAAGGCAACAGCAAGATATAGAAGAAAAGTAATGCAAGCTAGAAACTCATCCAAAGAGAAATTATTAAAGAGAGAAAGCATATTTTTATGAAACAAAACAGAGATTTTTAAGCTTTGGTTGATGATGAAGAATTTACACACATGTAAAACCACATTTGAAACTGCACGGTGTCACGTAAAAAGAACCATGCCCCTCATTCAAAAAGACTGTACAACTCATAGTCAAATGCAATATGCAGGTCTTCTATCTCTAAATCCCATAGAASTCTTTGAAAATCTGGTCCATAGTGCTTGAAAACATGACTTTTATCTGTCACCTCAAATTCTTCATGCAAATCAAATCCTTCATAAATTCCATTTAGTTACTACTACTCAGTGGCACATTATTAAGAGAAYATTATTAAACATCATTTTATAGAAAAAGAAAAGTTCAATTAGGTAAACATATTTTATGCACAAATTCATGTCTCTCTATGTRTATATGTRTCTACATATYATAAATGGTTTATGATGTAAATYTTTTTAGTGGGGGYCACARTGKTTGAGCTTCAAACAGAAGTCTGAGRGGTAATTCTTCCACAAATTTCCTAAATATTTTTGCTCATGCAGGATGCGCTTTTCCTGTTCTGCATGCACATTTTGAAACATGAAAAAACACTCTTGCATGCTGAACTTTGAATAGAGAACATTTAACTTTCACTTGCGGGGTCTGGGGTTTTTTTGATTAAATTTTTGAARTCAAATAAACTGAATCTTTTGACAAACAGCTGTGGTCTTGGTCAGCAAAACAAAAAGATAACCTCTTGTTAAAAACACATACCTCTGTTAGGAATGATTTGGCTGTCGAAGGGTTCATTATGAGAATAGCTCGTCTCAGGGTATCCCGGTAGCGGTTCAGCTCTTCTATTCTCATCGTGGCAAAGAGCCCCGTGATCATTTTATTGATGTTGTTTTCTACTTTCTGTAGAGCTACATCCATTCCCTGTTGAGATACTTTGTCTAAAAATTCCTGTATTCCACGGATATCTAGAAAAATCAGAAGGCAAACAAGATGTTAATTGGTAACTGGAAAAAAAAGACAYAAGTAACTGTTCAATTTATCTCACAGAAATGGTTTGTAAGGTAGATACCTAAAGGTTTTCCCTTAAAATTCATCCTGCATTTCTTAAAGTACTAAAACAGGAGAAAGAATAGCCACACAACAGCTTCTGTCCAAAACAGCTATTAGAAAAAAAATACCAAAAAAAAAACCCCTACAAATACTTGTAGCATTTTTCCTAATTTGACCATTCAATCCTCACACTTCTTCCTAATCCTTCTTAAAGGACGTTCCCACTAAAACCCATATAGAGCAGTGAGGCTGTGGTGACCATGACACACAATTATTCCTTCAGGAAAAAGTTGTCAGAAGGCAACTGAAGATGAGAAAGGCAGGAAGCAGATCTTCTTTTGTGAAACTCCAAATTACGTTATCCATGCTCTGTAGCTTAATGTRTCTCAGCGATGCTTGGGCTGCTCACTCATCAAAAAGTGCAAATAATGTTCTAAATTTCACAGCTATTTATTTCCTTTAAAAACAAACCAAAAGCCACACCTACAGTTGTTGCAATGGCACTGCCTGCTCTCATCAGACATCACTGGCTGAGTTTGATCAGTTTTCCACAGCAAATTACTCTTGTAGAGCTTTATGGCTCTCTCTGAGTAAAGAACAACTTCGAACGGAAGAATTGGTAGCAAAATGCTAACTGTGTTCACTTCCTGGCTTATAACATTTTTATGGTCTACCAAACTGAAATGTCTTGGCATTGTTGAGCTGCCTCTAGCTGGTCTAAGCCTTTGAAAGGACTTTTTCCMGTACTGAACTCCACAAGTCTGTTTGACTTTCCCTTTCCCTTTGCWCTTTTGAATGGTTTTACCTAAAACCTCAAACTTTATGCTTAAAAATTAAAATCATTCAATGACTTCACRAGTCAGATCAGGGTCTTCTGGACCTCAAGAAAATCCCTTCAGCCTCACTGAGTCCTCACTATCTGACCCCTACTCACAGTGCAGATTCTCAACCTATTTTTGAGCTAAGCCATCAGTTCCCTAACATGATTCTTCCCTCCAGTGGTCACTCTGACCTGCTGTCCCAGAGGACACTCTGCAGGACATCCTTCCTTCCCTACTGGCATGCAAGCCTCCCACRCACCCAACTGCTCTCAGTTAGGGGAAAAAGAAACAGCCTCAGAGTCAACATGACAGATTCTAACTAAAACACATATTATGAGAAAAGGAAAAAAAAAAGGAAAAAGAAAGGTTCCTCAGGTTTAGGAGAGCATTTGTGGTTAAAATCACCAGAAAATATTTCTCCCACTAGAATACTAAATTTGGTCTCTCTTAGATGTGTCATCTCAGATCCAGGTCTCTGAGGGACTGCAGTTCCTGCTTTGCTTCCCTCTCACACCCCTGGTGCTGTATCAGTTTCTTGACTCAATCACTCATTTTCCAGGGGAATGGTCAGACCTGAAGCTACAGGCTGATTTTGTGATGATGATGATGATTATGTGTCTTTCTGCATGACATATCTTATAGTTGAGAAAGCTTCCAAGCAGACTTTCACAGCAGCTTGGCTACTCAGATCTTCCATCCTGACCCACTGACCTCCCCTGCTCCCTGCTCTTCTTTAGGGAGTGCCACAAACAGTAGCAGAAGAAAAACCAAATTCAGACTGCACAGTACAAAACATGCTCTGCCTGCATCACCAGAAGAGATGCACTAARTAGAGAATATTGCAGACAGCCATCCTCCTCCAGCACCAATTTACTGAGATGTTTCAAATTATGAAGAAATAGCCATGCACTAGTTTGCAATCCAACATTACACAAGAATAATTCAATAGGGTTAGTCCTAGAAGTCTGTCACTATCCCCAGCTGGGTGTCCTGTCTAGAGCTCAAAAATACTTTGAACTGGAAAGAAATGTTATTTTAAGTGTTTAGGCTATTTTAGAMATTCATCAGCAAAACCTCACTCTCCAGACACTGCCAAAATATCAGTATTGCTAAACACTTGTAGGGTAGTTTAACCATGAATAAAATACATGCATACCCTAAAAATAAAGTTCCATAAGAGAATCAGATACTAATTACAGCTTCTATTTAATATCTAAATCAGGAAAATTAGATTCAATCTAATCAGAGATGTTAGAATTTTTTTGGCACTTTAAATACCAACAAGATTACTTGAAGTGCTACAAATATGTCTAGTTTTATGCAAATGATAAAATAACTTCTTTCTGCTTTAACCCTTTCATTCTAAAGTTCTTGAGGCTCACACACACTGAGGATTTCTCAGCATCCAGAAAAAAATATATTAAAAAAATGGGCAAAATTGCCCAGTTGAAGCCAAAATTATTGAAGCACAATGAGCACACATAGATGTGACCTAAATATCAAAATATCAGGGAGAAAATTTACTTAGGCTATGAAAACTTGTTTAAAGACTTAAATTCTATCTCACAAATCCATATATTTTCTGACACCAGAGCAGGGTCAGCAGGAATCACCCAACTTTTATTTGTCCTTTTACAAAACAAGAACATAATTTCACTTGACTTGAATTTATAAACACACTTGAGTGACATTCGGCATAACCTGTGTTGACCCAGAAGCCAGATTACGGGATCAAATGGCTTTCTTTGCCATGAAGATCTGCATATAAACAACAAAACAATTATATTGAATCTTCACTAAATGATGGGACAGAGATCCAGTATTATTCTCTGTATTTATTAGAAGACCATGYCAACACTACTGCATCTATGTGATGTGCTTTCAGGAAAACACCACTATTCTAATGGAAAATATACCAAACCAGGATTTCTACTTCCTCTATATTACTTCTGTCTTTGGCATTGGTACAACACGAAGACATGGGCAGGAAATAAATACAGACTATACAAAAATAGTTTTATRCAGAAATAAATACAGAAGCAGAATRGAGTTATTGGTGGTGCTCACCTGCTGCTGTGAAACAGCAGAAAGCACATAAAACCACCCTGCAATTGAAATGCTATTTAAATCATGATGGTACTTCCAATATTTCAGCAGCCAGTTCACTAGCAGCGATCACATTCAGAGTGTATGCCAAAGAACAGATGCTGCCACTGAATGGGCAGCATTATCTTTCCTGCGTGGATTGTCTCTAAGTGGCACATATCCACACTGAACTGTGGAATCATCTTTCTAATAGATAAACTCCTTCTGCAGAAAAATCTGGCAAGCAACCTGTGGCACAGATGGCTTTGCTGAGGAGACACAAGACTGTTCATGTTTGGAACACAGGTGTTTCTCGCCCTGAATTTGCTAGCCAACCTGTTGCCCACCCAGAAGTCACATACCTACTTCCTGTTTAAGTCAGATGRGTCACAGTCATTGCCAGAAGTTCAGAAGAGTTTCCCCTTTATCAGCAGTATTAATTATCCTCCTCAGTGATCAAAGTTAGCACACAGATCAATGCTAAARCCAAAGCTGCTATCTGCTCTCTCAGCTCAGTGTCACTGTCACTATTAGATTTCCTGTTTTTTCCCTGGACAGCCATCACTTCCAGTGTACACRTGTGTGCACAAGAACAGAGTCCCCCTCGGTATTCAGCAACACCTTTAGGGTTAAACCAGGCTGGAAATTTAAAAGAAACATTACCAAACATTCTCCTTGTAACCAAAACCGCGCTCAACTTAAGAGACTGTAAAATTGGCTCGGAAACCCTAATAAAGCCAGCAAAATTTATCAAGGACTCTGCTGGAAATGGCTTTCCCTGGCAYCCATAACCATGCCACAAGGCAAAGGTCCATTGGGAGTTTCTGAAGCTCTCCAGACCTGGCTGATATTTTCAAATGCAGGCACTCAGTGTAACACTGCCCTGGCTGAGATCTGAATTCAGGTGACAACTTCACCAAACTTGTCATTACTGTGTCAGTTACTGTGGATTTTGACCTAAGGAAGAATTTCGGAAATGAAGCATAACCTCACACACCATCTTCTCTCTAAAGGGCCTTTTTGATACTGAAGAAAGATCAAAAAATAGGTAAGTATCTTAAACATAGAGCGTGCTCAGAGAAAAATGCCCTACAGAGACTATGAGTCGAAATCTTCTTAAAATACCTGCCTGGCAGGAACACGCAGACCTCACCTAACATAAACAATAAGAACCATTTAATGGAAACCTCAGGCACATGGTGTGACTTTGGAGGCTGTCCAGAGCAGGGCCAGGAGTGGGACTTCAATGAGACTTRTGRGTSYYTTCTAACTCAGGATATTCTATGAATCTATGATTCTTGCACAAGGTTTTTTTTAATCACGGGACCAGATGCTCATCTCACTTTTTTGTTCTCTCTTTTGTTTGTTATGGCCCCCCACAGCTTTCCTTTGCCATCTGTTTTATACAGAGGGACCAAGTCCCCTAATTCATCTTGGGAAAGCCCAATAATCAGGACAGCCCAGAAAAAAATACACTGGTTTTCAGGCATCTCATACAGGAATACCACGATGCATATGCAGCAAAGATTTTATAAGCTGAATAAAATGAACAGCACATACTAAAAAACTCATATGCTAAGTACCTCTTACATCCTTATTAAAAAGGAAACCTCTACAAGTAGATGCAAAATTCATAATAATTTTTCAGGTCACACTATAATCAGGAGAAGAGAAAGATGGCACTATTCACTAATGGTAATAAATTAATCCATCCACCTGTATCTTTGTGTTCCACCTAAATTACAAGGCACTCATCGTGCACTTTGGCTGTCTCAAGCCTGCCTTACAGTCATTAGCTCATCCTCCCTCTGATGGCATTTTAGATCTGAGCACATTCTCCTCAGAGTATCTGCCTGATAAATACCAACTGATTCAGCTGCGGTGGTAAAGGTGAACCTGCCTGTCATGAATATTCACTGGCTGATTTGCACAAAAGACCGCTTTATTTGTACAGATGATGAGAAAAGCCATTRTATAACAAATAACACTGTTCAAATTCTTATCAAGAT